CTCACATCATGGTGTCCCCTGTCTGCAGGTCCTGGTGTGCCCTGCCTGCATGTTGTGGTGTCCACTGCCCTCACATCCTGGTGTCCCCTACCTGCACACCCTGGTGTCCCCTATCTGCATGTCCTGGTGTCCCCTGCCTGCATGTCATGGTGTCCCATCGCACACCCTGGTGTCCCCTATCTGCACACCCTGCTGTCCCCTACCTGCATGTCATGGTGTCCCCTGCCTGCACCTTGCGGTGTCCCCTCCCTTCACATCCTGGTGTCCCCTCCCTTCACATTGTGGTGTCCCCTGCCTGCACCTCCTGCTGTCCCCTACCTGTATGTCATGGTGTCCCCTGCCTGCACGTTGTGGTGTCCCCTATCTGCACATGCAGCTGTCCCTTGCCCACACGTCCCGGTGTCCCCTATCTGCACATCCTGGTGTCCCTCACATCCTGCTGTCCCCTGCCTGTCCCCCTGAGGGTTCCTCGGGGATTGCTCCCTCTCCAGCCCACGTTCACCACAGGGATCTCCTGGCTCTGTTTGCTCACAGCCAGCCCACCTACGACTATGGGGGCGAGCTCATCCTGGGGGGCGTGGACCCTCAGCTCTTCCAGGGGGACATCACCTGGGCACCGGTGACACAGAAGCTCTACTGGCAGGTGGCACTTGAGGAGTGAGTGGTGTTTGCACCTCTGGCCATCACCCCCTGGCTCAGCTGCTGCTCTGCAGGGCTCCAGGCTCCATGCTTTGGGTTTAGGGGTGCCCAACGCCACGTCCTTGTCCCCGTTGTCCTGCCAGGGTTGCCATCGGGCAGTCAGTGACCGGCTGGTGCAGCCAGGGCTGCCAGGCCATCGTGGACACGGGGACATTCCTGCTGACCGTGCCCCAGGAGTACATAGAGAGCATCCTGGAGGCCCTGGGAGCCCAGGAGACCAGCTATGGGGTGAGTGTGGGGGTTTGGGGGGTCTGGAGCAGTGGGGAGCCTGCGTGGGAGTCAGAACCCTGGGCTTGACCAGGTCCCACCAAACTCAGGTGGCACCTGCAGGGAAAGGGACTGCAGAGGTTTGCACACAATGTTCTCTCCTCTCAGGCTGAGAAAGGTGGGGATGCTCAGCCTGGAGAAGAGAACATTGTGTGCAAACCTCACAGCCTGTTCCAGGATCTGAAGGGGCTACAGGGAAGCCAGAAAAGGACTTGGGACAAGGGCCTGGAGTGACAGGACAAGGGGAGATGGGTTCAGATTGAAGGAGAGGAAATTTAGGGTTGATGCAGGGAAGGAATTCCACCCTGTGAGGGTGGGGAGGGGCTGGGGTGATGTCCCAGAGCAGCTGTGGCTGTGCCATCCCTGGCAGTGCCCAAGGCCAGGCTGGAGCACCCTGGGGCAGTGGGAGTTGTGGGACTGGATGGGCTTTGAGGTCCCTCAAACCCAAACCATTCCAGGACTCCATGAGCAGGTTTAGATGAGATTTTGGGAAGAAATACTGGGAGAGGGGCTGGGATGGAATTCCCAGAGCAGCTGTGGCTGCCGCTGGATCCCTGGCAGAGTCCCAGGCCAGGCTGGAGCACCCTGGGGCAGGGGAGGCGCCCGTTCCACGGCAGGGGTGGCACTGGGTGATTTCAATTCCCTTCCCACCCAAACCTTTCCATGATTCCATGGTGTGGCGCTGCCAGGGGTGGGGTGTGTGTGTCCCCCTGTGTCCCCTGGCCGCCATGACCCCGTGTCCCTGTCCCCTCAGTACGCTGTGGACTGCAGTGACACCCAGAGCATGCCCCAGCTCACCTTCGGCATCGGCGGCGCCCGGCTCGCGCTCCCCCCGGCCACCTACGTCCTCAACGTACGTCTGGGGCCTGTGGGGTCCAGCCCGGAATCCCACAGGGTTCCACGGCTGCCAGGGACATCCCCGGGGTTCCTGAGAGTTCCTGAGCCACTGGGAACATCCCGAGAGTTCCCCAGGGTTCCCTGGGTACCCAGAACATCCCGAGGGTTCCCCGGGTACTGGGAGCATCCCGAGAGTTCCCCCAGGGTTCCCCGGGTATCAAGGATATCCCAAGGCACCAGGGACATCCCGAGAGTTCCTGAGAGTTCCCCAGGGTTCCCAGGAACATCTCGAGGGTTCCTGAGAATTCCTGAGGCGCTGGGAATATCCTGAAAATTCCCAAGGGTTCCCCAGGCACGGGGAACATCCCGAGGGTTCCCCTGGGTTCCACGGGTACCAGGAACATCCTGAGAGTTCCCAAGAGTTCCCCAGATACTGGGAACATCCCGAGCATTCCCGAAAGTTCCCGAGGCACCAGGAACATCCCGAGAGTTCCTGAGTGTTCCGCAGGCACCGGGAACATCCCAAGAATTCCCGAGCCTTCCCCAGGCATTGGGAACATCCTGAGGCACTGGGAACATTCTGGGAATTCCCAAGGCACCAGGAACACCCTGAGAATTCCTGAGAGTTCCCCAGGCACCGGGAACATCCCAAGGCACCAGGAACATCCCAAGGCACCAGGAACATCCCAAAGTACCAGGAACATCCCGAGAGTTCCCCAGGCACCAGGAACATCCCAAAGCACCAGGAACATCCCGAGAGTTCCCCAGGCACCGGGAACATCCCGAGCATTCCCGAGGCAGTGGGAACATCCCAAGAATTCCCAAGGCACCGGGAACACCCCGAGCATTCCCAAGGCCCCAGGAGGATCCCGTAGCTGCAGCAGCGACGCTCCCCTCGTGCTGCTGGAGGTGCTGACCCCCCGTTATTCCCCCCTCCAGAGCAATGGCTACTGCACCCTGGCCATCGAGGCCACCTACCTGCCCTCCCAGGACGGGCAGCCCCTCTGGATCCTGGGAAACGTTTTCCTGAAGGAATATTACACCGTCTTCGACATGGCCAACAACCGCGTGGGCTTCGCCCTCTCGGCCTAGAGGAAGCGAATTCCAGCCCCTCTCCCAGCCCATGGAGTGCCACAGCATTCCCAGGGACATTTCTGCTCCTTTCCATCCCCATCCCTCGGGATTTGTGCGCCCGTGGATCCTGTAGCAAATAAACCCTGCCATCCCAAATGGTCTCTGAGCTCCTGGGTTTGTTGGGAGCAGCCTGAGGGGTTCCCTGGCTCACAATTCCCTGCTCCAGCAAGGTAAGTGCTGGGATGAGCTCCGGACCCTGGGATAAATCCCCAGTCCCCACCTCCAACCCTCAGGAAACCCCAGAGGGGAAGCCCCTGAGTCTCCCTGCAGCTGGAAAAGCTTTGCCAAAGCCCTGTGCTGTATCCAGGCGGGATCCCGAGGCTGTGAGGTGAGTCAGGACACCCAAATGACCCCTGGGGCCTGAAATGGGGCTGGAAAACTGCTCTGGAAAATCGGGAATTGGGGGGAGGTGTGGCCCAAGGGGATGGGGAACACCCTGGGCAGGGGGAGGCTGGATGACCCTGCTGTTTTCCAGTTTCTTAGAACTTCTTTTTATCACCAGAACTTCTTTATCGTGACACTCAAATCACCCTTGAGCCCTGAAAAAACCCTGGGAAAACCGCACTGGAATATTGGGAATGGCAGGGTGTGGCCCAAGGGGATTGGGAACGCCCTGGGCAGGGGGAGGCTGGGTGACCCCCGCTCTTTCCCAGCACCCAGAGTGGTTTTTTAGATTTTTAGCAGTTCTTTATCACCGGAGCTCGCTCTCAGATGCGCTCACGGCTCTGTCACCTCCCGGGGGAAGGACACAAAGTGCCCCGAGCTTTGAGTCAAAATATTGACACAGGCTGAGCGCGCTGAGACCGAGATTAGGAGGGCACCGACAGCAAGGAAGGACATTCCTCATCCTCCTCTTCCTCCTCCTCCCTCTGCAATGGGAATTTTCTGCTGGAAACAGGGTGGTGGTGGCCAGCAAAAGCTGACCACGTCCCTCTGCTCTTTGCTGTCCCCTTTGCTCCCTGCAGGACCTGCCCAGACCCATCAGGAACCTCGTGGGGATTTCCCGAGCTTCTGAAGGATTCCCAGCATCATTCCATGGCCAAAAGCTTGGATGGAAGCTGGAAGGCTCCTGCCCATTCCCAGAAGACCAGCAGCAGGAATTTCCACTTGCTGGAAGGGGTGTGTGTGACTGTGCCTTTGTTTTCCGGAAAGCTGGAGCTGGGAGAAAAAAAATCCTTTAATTGGGTGATAACGGCGGCGTTTGGCTTTTGATCGGTGTCCCGTGTTTGGGCTGGGGGTCAGAGGGGCTGAGCGGGGTCAGGAGGGAAATCAGGGTGGATGTGGGGGCATTGCCAGGGCCACAAACGGCGGGGGGATCGTGGTGCAAGGAGTGGTAAAAACCTGGTGCAAGGAGCTCCACGATCCCTGTGTCATCCCAGTCCAAAGGGATTTAGGATCCTGGTCCAAAGGGATGCAGGATCCTGGTGCAAGGAGCTCCACAATCACCCTGTGGTCCCAGCCCAAAGGGATGTAGGATCCTGGTCCAAAGGGATATAGGATCGTGGTCCAAAGGGATTCAGGATCCTGGTCCAAAGGGATGCAGGATCTGGTCCAAAGGGATGTAGGATCGTGGTCCAAAGGGATGCAGGATCCTGGGGCAAGGAGCTCCATGATCCCCCTGTGATCCCAATCCTAAGGGATGTAGATGTAGGATCGTGGTGCTAAGGGATGCAGGATCGTGGTGCAAGGAGCTCCACGATCCCTCGGGTTCCTGACAGAAAGGGATGCACCATCCTGGCTCACGGCACTGCACAACCCCAACACACCCCATCCCTCCTCTCCCGAGCCGTTTTTGGGGTGGAAACACCCACTTTAGAGGAAACAAACAAACAAAAAAAAGGCATTTTTGGGGAGGCTCCCCCCCTTTTCAGGGCAGGAAAGCGCCAAGCCCGAACTCCGCCGTGGCCGGGCGGGGACTACAAGTCCCGGCAGGCGCGGACTGCAGCTCCCGGCGTGCCCGGGGCCGGGAGCGCAGCGAGGGCAGCGGAACGGGCCGCGCCGGGCCGGGCGGGCGCTGCTGCTGCCCTCCCTCGGCACGGGGCCGAGCCGGGCCGAGCCGAGCCCAACCGGGCCGGACTGCGCTGAGCCGAGCGGAGAGGCCCGACAGAACCGAGCCGAACCGAGCCGGGCCGAGGAACTCAACAGAACCGAGCCCAACCGGGCCGGGCCGAGCCGAGCCCAACCGGGCCGGACTGCGCCGAGCCGAGGAGCCCGACAGAACCGAGCCGGGACGAGCAGTGCCGAGTGGAGCCGAACTGAGCCGAGGAGTCGAATCGAGCGCAGCCGAACCGAGCCGAGTGGGGCCGAACTGAGCTGAGCTGAGCCCAGGAACCGAACCGAGCCGGGCCGAGCGCAGCCGAGCGAGTCCGAACAGATCCGAGCCGACCCGAGTGGGGCCGAACTGGGCTGAGCCGACCCGAGCGCAGCCGAACGGGGCCGAACCGAGCCGAGGGGCCGAACCGAGCTGGGCCGAGCGCAGCCGAACGAGGCCGAGCAGAGCCGAGCGCAGCCGAACCACTTCGTTTCCTCGCCGTTCCCCACGGGTGAGTGCGGGGCCGGGGGTCCCGGGGGACGGGGAGGGCTCGGCAGCCGCGCAGCGCGGCTCCCTCGGCTTGGAGCCCACCTTGTGGGGGTGCTGGGGCGGTTTTGGGGTGCTCCCCCCTGTCCTGCGCCATCCCGGAGCGCTCTGAACTCGGAGTTGCTTTTTTTCCCCATTATTTTGCTGTAAATAATCGCCCCCCCCCCGCGCCTGGGAGGCTCCAGCCTGGCTGCTGCGGGGCGCGGAGGGTTTGGGGGTCTCCAGCAGCTCGTCCCAAAACCCGGGGGTTCCGGGGGTCTGTGAGACCCCCGGCAGTTCGGGGGGACCTGCCCGGGTCGCCTTTCCCATGGGCAACCCCCCCCCCCGAACACGGTGCTGCACGCCTGGGGAAACTGAGGCACGGATGCTCCGGGACACCCGGAGGGTCCCCGGCACCCTCGGTTTGAGGCACGCAAAGTGGGGACTTCTCCCATTTAGAAAAAATGGGGAAATTGGGATACCTCGTGTCACACGGCTTTTAGGGGGTCACCAAGAGGACACACAGCGTGTCCCCCCTTCCTGGGGAATTTGGGGGGGAATAGAGGGGGGTGCCCCGGACCGATTAATTACATTCATGAATTAATTACGAGGCAGGAAAGGATTACGCAGCCCCCAGACTGCTTGGGTGCAGTCAGATGATGGGGGAAATTTCCTTAAAAAAGTAAAAACCAAAAAAAAAAAAAAAAAAAAAGAAGAATAGAAACACGAAGAAAATCTGGTGGTTATTGTGCTGGTGTAAGATAAATAAATAAACCGGTGCGAGTCCGGGGAAAGCAGGGCTCGTTTCCAGGAATCCCGGCGTGTTCCCCCCCTTGGGGCACGGGGGGAGTTGGTGTTTTTTATATAACAGAGTCCGGCAGGCAGCGAAGGGAGCCTTTGGGGGGGTTATTTTTTCTTTTCCCCCCCCTTCTCTGTACTTCCCTGCCATGTTTGCTTGGCTTCATGCACGGCTGCTCCGAGCTGGGAATGGATGGGGCTGGTTTCTCCCAGCCCGCTCTGGCTCACCTGCTGCAGGAGGGTGGAAATCCCAAAGCTGGGGAAGGGTGGGAATTTGGGATTGGAGTGGCTGGGTTTGGGGGAATACCGAGATTTGGGGTGGCTGGATTTGGGGGGAACACCCAGATTGGGGTGGCTGGATTTGGGGGGAACACCCAGATTTAGGGTGCTGTTAGTGGGTCAGGGCAGCACGTGCTGAGGAGCAGTGAGAATTTAGGATTGGAGTGGCTGGGTTTGGGGGGAACACCCAGATTTGGGGAGGCTGGATTTAGGGGAATATCCAGATTTGGGGTGGCTGGATTTGGGAGAATATCCAGATTTGGGGTGGCTGGATTTGGGGGAAACACCCACCCAGATTTGAGGTGGCTGGATTTGGGGGAAACACCCAGATTTGGGGTGGCTGGATTTGGGGGAAACACCCACCCAGATTTGGGGTGGCTGGATTTGGGGGGAATATCCAGATTTGGGGTGGCTGGATTTGGGGGAATATCCAGATTTGGGGTGGCTGGATTTGGGGGAAACACCCAGATTGGGGTGGCTGGATTTGGGGGGAACACCCAGATTTGGTGCTGGTGGTGGGTCAGGGCAGCGCATGGAGGTGTTTTCCAAGGGATGCTGGGTTGGTTTCCTGCTGAATTCTGGGTTTATTTCCTGCTGAATCCTGGGTTCGCTTCCCGAGGGATGCCGGCCCTGCGTGTTTGGTGTTTTCTGAGGGATCTGCCCACCCTTATCAGTAGGAAACTGCAAACTGTGCTGGGGTGGAGCTGCTGGATGGGGCCATCCAGCATCCGGGTGTTTGGGATGGAGCTGTGAGCCCAGCCAGGGATTTCAGATTTTATTGCTTTTTCCACACTGCACGTGTGTGTGTGTGTTCCTGGTCTGCCCTGCCCTGTTTTCCTGGAAATGCTGGGATGGGAATGGGAATGGGAAGAGCCCCTTGGGATGATGTGGGAGGGTCACCATTCCCAGGGCTGAGCAGCCCAAAAACCAGGGACATGGGATTTGGGAGGGTGTCCCCTTCCAAAAATCCACAATGCTGAGGGTAAAAAACATCCTCGTGTCGTGGGGTGCTGGAATCTGGGGATCTGGTGTGATGGGACCTCACCCCCCCTGGATTTGATGTTTCTCCCTCCTTTGCTGGGGTGTAGGTGGCAGGGATGGAGCTGCCACACCCCTGTCCCCTCTGTGGGGACAAAAATTCCCATCTGGAATTTTTTTGGGGTGGTTTTAGAGGGCGCCTCAAGCTGGGTTTGCCTTTCAAGGGGAGCTGTTTTGTCAGTGCCCTGTGTGGGGTTATCCCATATCCCAGGCCAAGAGGGAGCAGACAGGGGTCAGGGGCAGGCAGATGATGGAGGAAATTTCCTTTAAAAAAAATTAAAAACTCGAAAAAAACCCCAAAAAAACAAAAAAAAAAAACACCCAAAAAAAAAAAAAAAGAGAGAGAGAATAGAAACACAAAGAAAATCTGGTCCTGGGTGGTGTGGTGGGGCTGGCAGTGCTGCCACATGTCCTGGTGCTTGGGGCAGGTGTTCTCTGTGGATTTCCCTGCACATCAGGGCTCCCCTGAAGTGGAATTCCCAGGAATTCCCAGGAATGGGGGAGTCCTGTGCTCCAGGACGAGCTCTGGGTGCTGCTCCTCACCTTCCTGAGAGGCTGAGGAAAGCGGGAATGGGGGATTCTCCATCTCTGGGGGGGTTTTGTTGCTGCAGGAGCGTTGGGATGGGCACCCTGGGATGGTTTGGGTGGGATCACCTGGCTGGGCTCACCTGGGCAGGGCTCAAGGTGTCCCCAGTGTCCCTACAGGTTTGTGCCACCTTATCTTGAAGGCCTCTTCTAGGAGCCCTTCTCCCCACTTTATGGGTGGTTTCTCCCCAGTTTTTAGGATAATTTCTCCCCACTTTGTAGGATGGTTTCTCTCCACTTTCTGGGATGGGCACCGTGGGATGATTTGGGTGGGATCACCTGGGGAGGGCTCAAGGTGTCCCCAATGTCCCTACAGGTTGTGCCACTTTCTCTTGAAAGCCTCTTCTAGGAATTGCCCCCGGGGTTTTGTCACCTTTCCTCGGAGCGCTTTTGGCTCCAAACAAACTCCCCACACCCTGAGCTCTGCCTCCTTTGCTTAAATGGGTGCAAATTCCGGATAAACCTGAAATTCCCAGTGTGGGGATGGCCAGGGGGGGTTCTTGGAGCCTCAGGGACCAGCAGGGCTGGCTCCTGCCCAGGCTGTGCCCTCGGGATTTTGGGAATATTTTGGAGGAAATGAGGAAGGGGCTTCACCCACCTGGCACAGATTGGTGCCAGGTGAGGAGGGAGCAGGTTTGGCTGAACATTTTGGAGAAAAGGGGGCAGGAAAAGGAGAAATCCCAGCTGGGTGAGGAAAAAAACCCTCTGAGCTCCTGCACAGCTCCAACCAGAGCAACGTGCCCGGGAGATTTTGGGGAGTGGGAATATTTTGGAGGAAATGAGGAAGGGGCTGCATCCACCTGGCAGAGATTGCTGCCAGGTGAGGAGGGAGCAAAAATGGACAGGCAGAGGAGAAATCCCAGTTGGATTTTGGGGAGATTGCTGCCAGGTGAGGGGGAGCAGGTTTGGCTGAGCATTTTGGGCAAAACGGGGCAGGAAAAGGAGAAATCCCAGCTGGATGAGGAAAAAAACCCTCTGAACTCCTGGACATCTCCAACCAGAGCAACGTGCCTGGGAGATTTTTGGGATTGGGAATATTTTGGAGGAAATGAGGAAAGGGCTGCACCCACCTGGCAGAGATTGCTGCCAGATGAGGAAGGGGCAAAAATGGACAGGCAAAGGAGAAATCCCAGTTGGATTTTGGGGGGTGGGAATATTTTGGAGGAAATGAGGAAGGGGCTGCACCCACCTGGCACAGATTGCTGCCAGGTGAGGAGGGAGCAGGTTTGGCTGAACATTTTGGGCAAAAGGGGGCAGGAAAAGGAGAAATCCCAGCTGGGTGAGGAAAAAAACCTCCAGGCTCCTGCAGGGCTCCAAGCAGAGCAACGTGCCCGGGCGAGGAGGCGCCGTGCCAGGCCAGGGGCTGGGCTGGCAGCAGGGGCTCCCCAGGGATCAGTTTGACCTTCAGGGAGCAGGAAAAGCTGCGGGCAGAGCCTGGCACCAAGGAGGGCACAGCACAAACCCCTCCAGAGCGGGTGAGGTGGGCACGGGAGGGGATGCCAGGGTTGGAGGGGGGCACGGCATCCCCCAGGCTGGTTTGGGAGGGCAAGGCAGGGGCTGTCCCCGATTTGTTTATTTATTCCCGAGGCCTGGTTCCACGAGCTCTGCCTCCGCCGAGGCTCCGGGCTGGGTGCTGGGGGGCTGGACATGTGTATTTATAAATATTTATAAATATTACATGCTTGTGGCAGCACGGGGCTGCGAGGGAGGGATGGAGGCGGTGCTGGGAGCGCCTCTGGCACCGGCTGGGGGACAGGGGGACAGGGGGTGGCCGCTGTCACCTGGCGCTGGTGGCACCGGGAGCTTGGGGCGCCTGGAGCTGCCGGGCTGGTTTTGGTCGAGCATCGCCACTTTATGGGGTGGTTCGTCCCAATTTCTGGGTGGTTTCTGCTCAGTTTTTGGGGAGATTTCTCCTCACTTTTTGGGGTGGTTTCTCTCCACTTTTTGTGTGGTTTCTCCCCGCTTTCTGGGGTGGTTTCTCTCAATTTTCTGGGAAGATTTCTCCCCACTTTCTAGGGTGGTATCTCCCTGCTTTATGAGGTGGATTCTCTCTACTTTATGGGATGGTTTCTCTCCACTTTCTGTGTGGTTTCTCTCCACTTTCTGGGATTATTTCTCTCCAGTTTATGGGGTGGATTCTCTCCACTTTATGGGATGGTTTCTCTCCACTTTTTGGGTGGTTTCTTTCCACTTTCTGTGTGGTTTCTCTCCACTTTCTGGGATTATTTCTCCCCACTTTACGGGTGGTTTCTCTCCATTTTCTGGGGTGATTCTCCCCCACTTTAT